ATAAGGCATGTTTCGAATTTATAGATATGGAATACGCGAAAGTACTTCGCCCCGTCGTTACCCAGTAGTTATCCGTTTTTTCGAGCATGGTAGAACGGATTATACAATGCTGGCCAGCTATAAACAATATTTTATTAATCAGGGAGAAGATGAGACACACAAAATTATTTGGAAGTTTTTAGGAGACCAACAAAATGAACTTCAGGACGACTTGACTGGTGGCTTAACTTTGCGAATGCTATTTGTATTTTGTGCATCATTTTATGAACATTATGTCCCAAACAATCTCAACTCTTGAACGAAATGATATAATGATCTCAGAAGTACACAATATAATGGTGTTATTTGAAAGATAAACTTAGCTCTCGATTCAGAGACAAATTTCTTCGGTAGCAAAGTTAATGGTGCTCTGAACAGCCTTGATTCAGCTGATCATCGAAAATTTGAAAAGGAAGCATTGAGTGTATACGAAAAATATTTAAATTATATTGAAAAGGTGTATGACTTTCGAAAAGAGCCCTTATCAATATTTCACAGTGCTTAATTTGAAAGGGGGATTTCTCATAATGACAAAGTTGTACAGGTGTAAAAGCAATTAATTTAAATGTAGATTTAGACAACTTGTATGACGAAGTGCAAATTGTGACAAAAGTATTGCTGATGTGTCATAATTGATTTCTCCCACAGATTTCAAATGGGTGAAAATTTCCTCATCTGCACAATCTTTTAATGAGCTCCCGAAGATTGTCGCAACTGTCTTATCGATTCCAGTAGCAAGCTTTCGTTGAACGCGTATTTTTCTATCATGGGGAACTTATGGACCGATAATAGAAACAAGATGAGGCATAATTAGTCAAAGCGGACTGTTGACTAAGTTAAATTATGAAATGACATGGCGGGAAATTTTCAGATTCGTTAGTCAACCAGCCCAAATCGAAATTGCTAAAGAAAGCGCTGTCAAAATGAAAAATATAGATGGAAATTACGATAAGCAAAACGGTAGTTTTGAATTAGTGATAGAATACTGATTTGTGATGAATGGTCATAGTCGAACGCGAAATATAATTGTTGTTGTAGTAATTAAATGTTATTAACATTATAACAGTATAATTATATGGAGATTAATCGTAAAGAAGTTCCTGCCATTCGTTTATAATAAATTTGATTCGTGAATTTGAATATTTTCTTTACTGCACCTTCACCTCCCCCTTCCCGGGAATTCAATTATCTCCGGATGCTTCCATCTCGAAAGTGGCCAACTCTATTGGAGGCGTAATGATTCTATTTTTTACTCCTGTCTGGATGTCAAAATACTTTATAGCAATGGGAAAGAACTTGCGATTTCCTTTGTTAGAAGCATCTGTCGCTATCGAAAAGGGCAGAGGAAATTCATACTTTTTCAAATCTTCTAGAATAATTCCCACCAGATGCGCCTTTCAGAAAGATCCCCTAGCGCAGATCTGGAGAAAATCTTAAGCCTGGGGGACAAGTGCGGATCATGAGCTACTGGCCGTCTCTCCGCCAAAATCTCGAACGTATTTCCTCTATATGTAATATCACAGGGTAAGATGACAGTTCTCTACAATTTATAAGGCGTCACTAAACAAAACCCTACAAATGTCCTACATTTTGATACAAAATTGCTCCCCAGGGCTGAATTGCGAAGTTTTAAGATGAAAATCATGGCGTCAAGTCACTTTGACACAAAGACTTGACACAAAATTCTCTATGTATGTCGAGGCGCTGAATCCGAATTCGAAGCCAGAATTGCGCCATTACCTTCCAGTTGTTATTTTTTAATCACTAAAACCGCTGTGAAGTTGTAACTTGTAAATTTCGCTGTTGGTTTGCAGTTAAAGAACTGGAAGGCGGTCGCGCAATTCAGGCTTCGGAAACAACGCGTCGTCAAACATAAATAAATATGCGCCAAGTCTTGGCTTCCGTATATTATAATGCTACATGAGCCCAATCTAGAAACCAATCTACTATTCGCGTGTGTTTTTCGCAATTTTAAAAAACTAAAGAGCGCTAGCGCAATTCTCGATTTAGATTCGGGTTCAGTACATTGACATGGATAGCAAAACGTGTGTCAAGTCTTTGAGTCTTATAACAACCCCTGAAAAAACAACATAAAACACGGTGGTTTTTCGCGGTTTAAAAAAAAACTGGAGGGTGGTGTCACAATTCTGGCTTCAGATGCGGATTCAGCGTTTTTGACACACGTTCAGAAACATGTGCCAAGTCTTTGGGTCTGACAACTTTTTTTATTTTGTATGTCAGTGTTATTGGTTCAGGACGAACTAAAATGGTTATATTACATAATATTGGATACAATATTGTATTAGAATGTTAAAACAGTCTTCTACAATAAAGTCATGTGTTAGAAGAATATAAGTGGAATTGCTGGCTACGATAGAGTCGGATATAGCATTGTGTTATGAAATAATCTACGTTCTATTTTTTTATTTTTCATATTTTTATTGAATCATAAACATTTAAATAGTAAATACTATTTAAAAACGTAATTATCGAGTGAACCTTTTCCCCACACTTCCGTACCATCATTGGAACGCTGTATGCCCGGCGCTGCGTGGGCCACTACCATTGCTCGCCCTCTCCGTTTGGAGCAGGAGAGACGATTTTGTGAAGTCACATTGCATTGAGTTGGCAAGCGCTGGTTTGTGGGCAAGAGGTGTCAGTGAAGCTTAATAAAAATAAGTTGTGGGTCACTTTCATTTGCAAATCGGCATTTGTACACTTATGTAAGAACGTAAAAGTGAGAAGTTGCACATAAGGTTCATTCTGCTCTATCATTATTTACAGTTTTGTTTTCTCCGCATTCACTTGAAATTCTTCAAGTTTTAATAAGTTTCGAGGTTTTTGCAAATTTATTTTTAAAACACGTAAATTCGAATCGAAATTGAAATGAATCTGCAGCACGATTTTCTTCGTAATTCAATTATTCACTTAAAGAAGACAACATCAGTGTTGCCAACGTCGTGAAAGAAAATTATGGCGTATGTTGCAAAAATTACGATGGAGTACTAGTGTTTAATCAATGCCAGCAACATAGATCGATTTAGTAGGCGATGGTTTAATTCCAGGCATTATCACTAAGATCGCAGTGCCAAAAAACGAAAAATCAAATTTTTGGAAATTTATTTGAATCTTCTAGTCAGATTCGAAAACAAGTTATAAGTTCCCCATCAGGTGACCAAAACACGACGAATGATGCCGCTTAAGTCTCAATTGGTGCACGGGAATGTGGTCTAGCCGTGAGTGACGGAACCTCATACATCCGCACAATCGCACGTACGCACACTCCGAGTTTTAGCAAATACAGTATAGGGATATTTGCATATTTAATTTAAGCATTCTCGCTTTTGTTTACATAGAAGAAACGTATGAAATATGGTACCCTTGCATGAAATAAGGTTTAACTCACGAGAGGAAAGGCCCACGAGTAATCATTATGAGGTGAGAGAAAATCATTTCTTTGAAAGAGCATATTTGAAATTTGTAATTTAATGAATATTATTTGAATATTAAAAGTGATTTATTTTCATTCCATTACGCTGTTATTTTCCTCATTTAATATTTCTTCTGTACATTCACTGCTTTTATGGCAAGGTGATGTTTCATAATTATCTCAGAGAAAATGATCTCACATTTTCCCCCTGTTGAATGCATTTGACAGATGGTGGCAAACTCCGCAAGATCGTGATATATAATCCTTCTTGAAGTACAATAGTCTTTAGTGTCAGTAATATCGACTTTGATCGCGTCTGTGATTATTATCTAACTGGGATTCAGTCAGTAAGCTATGAAGGAGCGAGTTAAATACTAGATAAGAGAGCTATTGCATCTCAGAATGTATACTGTCATAAATTGGATTTTAGTGTTAATTTCAGATGGGAAACAATGGAAAAGAAAGGGCTTGGTTCGTTTCACGTGCTTTGGTAGTGGGTAACTAATCTGGATGCTTGCGTATTTTTCACTCATTCACGTCAGTGATGGAATGTAAGATAAATTGATTAATTAAAGTATATAGAATGAAATCAAGGTGACAATTTACATTGCTCCAACTATTGAAAATGCACGAGAAAATGGGATACTATTGAATACTATATAATAACTAATTGAATGCTATATAATTATAGTTACGTCGGACTTATTTACAATTTAGCACAGTATTTACGTATTTATTATGCATTTGTAATTAGCGTGTTACTAGTCGTAAATTCTTAGTTGATCGAATTCTGAGTGTGTGAAAACAGACAGCATATTCTAAACATTATTGTTACACATCTGCAAGGTGGGTGGAGAGGCGCTGTCGGTCGGTTAGCAATGCGCGTTGAAGAGGGTCGGGGAAATGAGGGAGAAGCACGAGAGCGCATATCCGTACGATTAAGCCCCTACAAGTTACGAAATAACGAAAGACGCGAAACCAAACTGATAAAATTGCCCACGTGTTCCGCACGTGTGTGGGTAGCCTAAAGAGGCGTCGGCGCCCCATGCCCCCGTGGCACTGTGCGAGTAATAGAGATGCGACATCTTTGTCTAGACTTTCTAAACATTGACTCTTTATAAAATCATTGATGTACTTAACATCGGTTTTTGGAAGATGATTTTTTTAACACCGATCTTCTGTGTTCTCGGTTTTAAGAGGTTGATATTTAATTTTTTAATGAACAACAACTATCATAATAAAGACTTGTAATAATTTTGAGATCTATAAATTGTACATTCTTCGGATCAAAGTGACCAAGAGGGACAACTAATTAAAATGGAGGTTTCGGCGACAAACGAAGTCTATATTATTTTTGAATTATTCAAACAGATAAAAAACTTTTGCTAATTGTATTAATTTATGTTTTTTTGGGAGATCTGAATTAAAAATTAATAAACGAAGCCAACGTCAAATTACCCCCTACGTGAATATTAATGGTTACTACTGCAGTTATAAAAACATTGATGTTTCAAGACATTATGGTTTTGGCCTATATTTATTAATATCGATGCTTTAATTTTGTTGTAGGTGTCGCACCCCTACCACCTAAGCCCCGCGCCGAGCCGCGTGGGAAGAGAGGCGTGACTCAGAGGGTGATTCTGTTATCCTTCGTTATAAAACTTTCCGCAGTTAAAATGGTGAATCTCAAAGCGATCCCACCAAGGACCGACCGCAGCACCTCCAGACATAGCTTTTTACAGACAGGCATTTAAGACTGAGTCACGGGATTATTCAATTGTGTCTCTCTATCGATTTTATAAGCTATTCGCAGGAGATTATGGCAGAAATTGGATGAAACTGGAAAATGTGAAAATGAAGAGCATAGAAGAAAAGAGTCACTTTCTTTCATTCACCATCCTTTTTGCCTTCTTTTAACCATTGACACATTTACATTTTCATTAATTGCCCAAGAACATGCCTCTCCCTGCTCATAGCATATCACTTTTAGCGCCAGAGGGTTTTGGTTGAACTCCTGCCGGCACAGCGACTAAATAATATACATAATTGCCTGCATAATATAACACTTGCCCGATGTTCCTCCCTCTTTTGAACATACATTAGTCATCCTGTAAGAGATTCTCGACATTTACTTTTACATCAAGCATCGCCACTAGCGCTCCACTGATCATAACTCAGTTTTTAACATGAAATCAAAATTAAACATTTGCACAGTTACGTTTTTGTCTTCAATGGGTAATAACAGTATCTCATATTTTCACGTTAGTCGGAAATAAGAAGTTACTAATTTCGAAACTATTAAAAAATTCAAAATGACACGTTTGCACGCATACTTTTTGCACCCCCCCCCCCCCGTGGTGTCCAGCTGCTGCGTCGTGTGCCTGCAGGTTTCCTGGTGGACTTGGTGTCGGCGCCGGTGGTGCAGGGCTTCACGCTGGCGGCGGCCGTGACGATCGCGTCGTCGCAGCTGAAGGCGCTGCTGGGGCTGTCGTTCCAGGCGCAGGGCTTCGTGGACACGTGGCGCCTGCTGGTGCGGCACGCGCCCGCCACGCGCCCCGCCGACGCCGCGCTCGCCCTCTGCTGCGTGGCCGCGCTCATCGCGCTCAGGGTGCGGGCCGCGCCGCTAGCTCAGCCTAGGGACGGCGATGCTTTTACACAAGCGTCAAGGATTTTAACATCGATTTATTGAAGCCGGTGATTTTTATCGCCGGCGTTTTTACTTGCTTGACATTTCACTTTTTGAATTAAAAAGTAATAATAAAAACTACAATAATTTTGATATACTCGTATGATATATTTGAGCATTCATCAGACAAAAGTCACCAGGAATGAAAAATTAGTTAGTCGAATTTTTGCTAATAAATGTGTAAAATTTGAACATCGATTTTTCGAAATATTGCCTCTGTAGCTCTCCGATTGAATCTTTCGTGTTTCTGGGTGCGTCAGTGGACGATAGTGCCGTTAGTGTATGTGGGCGTGTTTATGTCCGCGCGATGTGAATTTTTTCTGTTCCTCCTCTGGAAGGCGAGATCTAGCGACGGTCTAAGGATCGGATTGCAGGATTTTCCCCTATCCAGGTACCTCTACCAGCGGGGCACCGCCCCAGTGGCAGAATGCTCCAACCTCCAGTATTGTAGTGCGCGCGCTAGTGTCAAAAATTCTGCCACCGTTGGAACTCGAAATCTAGAACATCCCGGGAACTACAGTGCCACCCCAACCGACCGGTTCCTCTGCAGAATTGTTGAGCGGAAAGTCCTATGACAAATAGCCTTCTATTAGAATTCTCGCCGAGCCAGTGGCTGACTTCGAGCCAGCAATGAAGCTAGAGGCGAAAATTCGCGTTCGAATACTACGATTAAAATTTACAAATATTGTCAGAGATCGGCTGGGAAGCCGTTATCCAGTGGGAAGCTTGAATATCAAAAATTAAGTTGTAACGAAGCTCTTGACTGGATAAGCGCGTCCCAGCTGATCTTTGTCAATTCAGTCTACATTTTAATTAGTGTGGAAGAAAACGCTACTCTAGCTACATTACTTGCTGGAAGTGAAACGCTGTTTGGGCGAGAATTCGAGTGGACGGCTGCTTTGATCGGTGTGGCAGACGATTGTCAGAGCTGTACTTTCACAAATCCTTGGCATCTTCTCTCCTCTCTGACAGACATACACACACACACACACACACACACTTCAAGCACTACACTAGAACACACATCGATAGACAAGTTGGGATCTTAGGGCTTTACCCTCTCGGTGGGCGGTGCCCTCTCAGGGAGAGATATTTGGAGGAAGAAACCTTCCCATGCCGACCTGTAGATCACCGCGAAATGTTATATTCCGGCGGGGAGTACCACTATTACCTTCCGAAATATAAAAAAAACACTACTTACGGGACTAATTATCTAAATAGTTGATGCACCTGTGTTACTGAACTTGTCCTATACCTTCCATTTTGAAACTAGTGTCATCTTGCATAATACAATCTATTACGCATTATAAGATATTCATCCATGTAATATATCTTTTTGCAAAACACCTTCATATTGAAGCCAGATATATTTTTTACAATACAATTTACTCGTATTTCTTAATATTTGAATTTTGAATAATTTCCTTACACTTTTTACTTTCCCTTACTGCTAAATAAGGAGCATTATACGTAGTATAGGGAAAGTTATGTAATGCATCGGAAAAAAGATTTCAAGATTTCAACGGAAATACACGTTTTGGATTCCCCTGACATTGAAAAATTGTGTTTTTTTTTATCAAAACTACCGCCTGTCTAACCGTGTGTGCGTTCACCTATGAACACCACTAGCGCCTAAATGATACGTAGTATTTTATTTATCCCTATTGAAGAAACCCCTGGCTCGAGACGAGGCTTTGAGATTTTGAAAAACATGTAAAATGTGGGGATTTTACATAAAGCCCCCTGGGCATTTTCAATTTTTTTCAAAAACGGCTCCAAATACGTCCTTTAAATTTCTGTAAGAATAGAGTAAAATACACTTATAAAAGTGACATAGGTCCGATTCCCAATGTACACTCAAAATTTTCGAAATTTTCAAATTTTTCCGGCGTCTTCCTACTACTACAAAATTGAAAATAGAGATTTTTCCTTCAAGTAACTCTGTAATAACTTTTTTCCTCTAGCTATTTCTTTAATTAAGAACGTGTACAGTTTTTTAAAAAATTCAGTAGTTTTCGCGCAATATTGCGAGCAATAAGTGCAATTTTAAATATTGCAAAACAGATTTTCTCAGAAACGGCTCTAATTGTTTTCTTTAAACTTTCTAACGGATAGTGCTAAATGCACTCTTTAATATGTCGTCCATTGACGTTCCATTACATTTCGGGGTATTTTTCGTTTTTTCAAAAATTACACAAATGTAACGTTTTTAAAGATTTTTCCACGCCGTTTATATGCACTTTCCCAGCATATTAAAACCACTATTTTATTTGTGAGATTATATGCTTCAATGGACTTCAAATGGAGTTTTTCGAAAATTCAAAAATTTTTTGTGAAAAAGAACTTAACGATAACGAAATTACAATAGCGCTTAAGCGCTATTTTCTTAAATACGGCTCCAAATTTTTGAAATAAAATTTCAATTCAATAATAAGTTTTAATGTTCTTTAATATTTTTAACATAATATTTCAGTTCTATTATTAGGAAACCTAGAAATTAAGAATATTTTTAAAAAATGTACGTCGGACGGCGATAGATGGTAGCTGACAAGAGTATGTGGCAAGTTCGTATAGCTAGTCGAGAACAAAGGAAATAGAAAACTAATACGGGAAATTTCTGTTTCATTCTCTAGCACCACTATTTTGAAATATTAATAGTTTTGACGTGATGTTGATTTAAGTACTTCGTTTAATATTTTCAAGTGGTATATGAATGTAATGTGCAATATTATAACATTACTTAACTGTTAACAATAATAAAAAATCCTGTGCTGTTTTTAATTCAATAATTTTCCCAGCAGTATTTTTAATGTTTTTGATTTGATGAGTGGGGAGGCCGCAAGAGGTTATCTTGAACTGAGTTACTGTGGTCCGCCTCTAGCCAGCCCATTTCAATTCCTAATTGAGAACGTAAGCAATGAGGAGGAGCGTCACACCTCTCCATATGTTCCATGTGAAGGACACAATGATGTAATAATTAAGTATCACTTGTCAGTTATGAGTAATAGGAAATTTTGAAATCTGCCAGAAACAATAATCGGCCATGATATAATTGTAATTTTTATATTCTTGTGTAATGCTGTTATTATTAGGGGTTTTGTGAATGTTCAATATTTGATATATGGACCATAATACTCCAGCATCCTTAAGTGGTCGCATTGATTGTGTGAGTCAACAACTCCTTCCTCTTTGCGATTATCTTATCACTCTTTGTTGTCAACAATGTCGCCGCTATATCTGCGAGTGGATGATAAAATTGTCTTGTGCCAAAGCAAGTAAAACATGTGTAGTTAGTTAATCAATGCCTTTAATATCGCTCTATAATATCGCTTAACGTAGAAATTAATGGTCATTGATTCGTCCTCCCACATGAGATTCCGATCTGAATTACGGGTGGAATCTTTGTGTTATCGCCCAAAATAATTTCGATTCATGTCACAAGCAGTCATTACTATTGCACTTGTGCGCGCAGAATCAATGCTACCTTGTAGAAACGAGTAGTAAATTGATTCGCGCACTTCATTGAAAAAACAAACTGAATTACTCGTGAAATTTGCCCATTAAGCGAGCACTGCTCAAAAGTAAAAACTGGAGACAGACAGTCTGCGGTAGCTCCTATGCCATTCGCCTTTTTATTACACGAATGTACCGCCCAGATCGCCTGACTCCAGTCTGACGGACTGACACTGCTAAGCGCTGGACCAGGGCACGGCAGATGGACCCCCAACTTGAACAGTCGAACCCTAGTGATTGGCCGAGTGACACTTGGCTTGTGCCTAGAGCTGGGAGGTGCGGTGGTGTGGTGTGCGCAGGCGCTGAAGGACGCGCGCGTGGAGGCGGAGGCGGAGGCGGAGGCGGAAGTGGAAGTGGAGGAGGCGAGCGCCAAGCGGACACGGACGCGCCGGCGACGAGTCGCCGCGTTGAAGCGCTCGCTCTGGTTGCTGGCCACGGGCCGCAACGCCCTCGTCGTGCTCCTAGCCGCGGGCCTCACGGCGGCACTCATGAAGCGGGGGGACTCCTCGCCCTTCCTGCTCTCTGGTGAGAACACATAAGCCCTCCTCCTTCTCCTCCTCCCCCCCCTCTCTCTCTCTCTCTCTCTCTCTCTCCAGACCTTCGTCCGTCCCTCTCTCTATCCTTCTTTTTTTCTCTTTGAATCTCTCTCATACTCTATCTCTCTGTTCATGTATTTTCCCTCGCTCTCTCTCTCTCTCTCTCTCTCTGTCTCTCTCTGTCTGTTTGTCTCTCTCTCACGCACACACACACACACACACACACACACACACATATAT